AATGTCTGGAATGTTGAGTAATCTTCAAATAAGTTTTCCAGTCGGTTTTTTGGTGCCTTTGATGGCTTCTGTACACAGAACACAAAAAAAGGAATTAACAATATTGCAAGCTGTGAACATTATTATGAGGATAGATAATTTTGGAATTAGTAATTTTGTCTGGGATTCATTTCTGCAGCACAGAGTCCTACTGAGCTTGTCGGGCTGGTCATTTTTTATGGATGTGGAAGAGAAATAGGCAACTCTCAGGCATAAATCACTGTATTTTGGGAGATTTGATTCAACTTCAGATTCAGAGACTCTGAGAGTTTTGTAATGTCTGTGTCTGGGGTAGGGACTGGTTTCTCCTGCCTTAAAATATGCAAATGGGATACTCTGGTGTGACACACCTTGAGCTATGGGATCCACCATGTCAGGAGGATGTGGAGCTGCTGGAGGGAGTCCAGAGGAGACCACAGAGATACTCCAAGGGCTGCAGTCCCTCTGGAGACAGTCTGGGAGAGCTGGGGCTGTTCACCTGGAGAAGAGAAGGGTCCAGGGAGAGCTCAGAGCCCCTTCCAGACCCTAAAGGGGCTCCAGGAGAGCTGGAGAGGGACTGGGGACAAGGGATGGAGGGACAGGACACAGGGAATGGCTTCCCACTGCCAGAGGGCAGGGTTAGATGGGATATTGGGAAGGAATTGTTCCCTGTGAGGGTGGGGAGGCCCTGGCACAGGGTGCCCAGAGAAGCTGTGGCTGCTCCTGGATCCCTGGAATTGTCCAAGGCCAGGCTGGATGGGGCTTGGATCAACTTGGGATAGAGGGAGGTGTCCCTGCCCATGGCAGGGGGTGGTATTGGATGATCTTTAAGGTCCCTTCCCACCCAAACTATTCTGTGATTCCATGGGTTCAATTTCCCTGTCCACGAGTGTTTTTCCTGCACTTTCACATGTCTCTCCCAAATTTTATGTCATTTATGTCAGCCTTGTGCACACAGATGTCCTGGATATCCTAAGGCATCTCAAATGATCCCAAATGTTTCCTTTTAGGGAAATAAATGAATCCCTGGATGTTGAAGCTCCTGTGCAACCAGTGGAGTCCTGGTCAATGTGATGAATCCATAAAGCTGCTCATCCCTGCTAGCACCTGGACTTCCATTCTGCTCTGTTTGTCATGGAATATTTCAAAATTTTTTTTATCTCTAAGAATGGGGTGCCTATCTGTCTTATCAGAGTAGCACTTTGCTTTCATTATTTTAGAAGAATATTTCATCTTATGCTGACTGTTTATTAGGAATATGCAAATTACAGGGTTGCCTATGGAAACACAGGGTCCTTGGTGACAAAAAACCTTGTTCAGAGGATGTATAGGAGTATGGATCCATAAAGAGAATAGCTGGAGAAAATGGATGTGGATGTTGGAAAGGAATATAGATTCTATAATTTAATCCCCAATTGTTTGATTAATATTTTTTCACAGGGATGCTTGAATACTTAAAGATTCCTGTCTGAATCTGTTTGGGTTTGAAGTTCAAAACCAAAAAAAAAAAATGAAAACACCTTTTGAAATTTCAATTAAGAGTCAGTCAAAACCCATCACTGTTCTTGTTTTTGTTTTGCAAATTAGCAATTAAAAAGTGACAAATGTCTTCAGTGCTTAAACACTCCTCTGCAGTACCCATTGTGTTCAAATAAGACTTTTTTTTTTTTTTTTCCTAGGAGTGAGAGTGTTTCCCTGTATTTCCTTTTTTTTTCTTCCTCTTAGGAATGCCTCCGGAAGCTCCCTCTGTAACTGCAAAGCTGCACTCACTTTCCCAGTACTGGGGATTATGCAAATCACTTCATGAATAGTTTAAAATCACATTCATGTTTTTGAGTTTTAAATTATAATATGGGTGGCTTATTTTACTTTTATGGCTCTTTACCTCCTTTTTTTTTTCACTTATTTGTTTCCCTGTCTGAGTTTTTATTTAATAATTTAAATTTATTATTTAAATTATTTATTTCTTCAGTTTCCTTACTAAAGGAGTAATAATTAAGGGAAGTAAACTTTTTTTTTGTACTGCAAGACCATGTGAAATCTTGAACTGAAATTATTTCCCTGTTTTGGTAATAATTGTCCACATTAGCCATGGCTAGAGGCAGCCAATGCTCTGGAAAACAGGCACTCCATGAGCTCACGTGTCTAATTCCAGAATATTATGTGGGATTTTATTGTTAATATTTCTCTCCTTATGACAATTTCTCTGTCGAACGTGGCACCACTTTAGCAGAATAACAAACATCAGCTGAATGGATTAATGCTGGGGAAAGCAATTTAGTGCTGGATTGTTGTAAATGATGTCTCTTTACCAGCAGGTTGTTTTATTATGACAAAGATTTCAATTTTATCTGTTCTCGGGGATGGGAGGATTCATTGTTTGTGTGAGGTGGCAGCACACTTGAGAAAATGATGAGAGCAGTTCTTCAGGAGAATAAAATCCCTCTCTTTCTGGGAAAGAGTGGCACAATGAACTCAGGGATCAGCTGGAAGAGGGGAAAATGGAGGAGTCCTTGATGGGGACACAGGTCACTTGTGAAATCCACAAAACAGGTTGGAAAAGCCCTCCAAAATCAAGTCCAGCCATCCCCCAGCACTGCCAAGGCCACCACTGAGCATGTCCCCAAGTGCCATCTCCACAGGGCCTTTAAATCCCACCAGGGATGAGGACTCACCACTGGCCTGGAAAGAGGGGTCAGAGGTGATTATCAATAAGAGAATCCCAAATAATAGTTATTGATCAGGTCATTGGCCACAGCCCTGATGATCAGGGATTTCAACAGCAACCTCAGGGATTTATTGAGCGTTAAAATCCCTGAAATAAAACACTAAGCATTTCTGCTTTGTATTTCAAGCTGGGCCTGTGTCTGAGCTCAAACCTGAGTTTGGGTTGTCTTCTACTGAGCATTAAAATCCCTGAAATAAAACACTAAGAATGAGCATTTCTGCTTTGTATTTCAACCTGGGCCTGTGTCTGAGCTCAAACCTGAGTTTGGGTTGTCTTCTGAATCTTGGGTTGCTCATTCACACTCAGGTGCTGGCCTAGGAATAGGATGTGGAGGAAAACGTGGATCTGTCCCATTCCTTGGCATGGATGAGGTTGGCCTCCTTGGCCTCCCCTCAGCATGTTTGCCCAGACAGTGGTAATTTGATAAATTGCCTCCTGTGAGAGCCTCAGCCTCACCTGCTGTGGGCACAGCTGGGATTTTAGGCAGCTGGAGCTCAAACTTCCCTTGGAATATTAAAGATGCAAAGCACTGAAGTATTAGAGTTGGGCAGGAGTTTATTTTCCATGTGTCTCATGCAGATCCAGACTTGGGATCTAAGGAACAACGCCCAAAAGAAGTTAAATCACCCCTTGGAAGCAGTTTCATACAGCCTTGGTGTGCCCAATTCCATGGGAGCTCCAATGGGTCCTCTGCTCTGGAGACAGGCTGGGAGAGCTGGGGCTGTTCACCTGGAGAAGAGAAGGATCCAGGGAGAGCTCAGAGCCCCTTCCAGAGCCTAAAGGGGCTCCAGGAGAGCTGGAGAGGGACTGGGGACAAGGGATGGAGAGACAGGACACAGGGAATGGCTTCCCACTGCCAGAGGGCAGGGATGGATGGGATAATGGGAAGGAATTGTTCTCTGTGAGAGTGGTGAGGCCCTGGAATGGAATTCCTAGAACAGCTGTGGCTGCTCCTGGATTCCTGGAAGTGTCCAAGGCCAGTCTGGATGGGTTTTGGAGTCACCAGCCTGATTTAGGTGAGGAAACCAAGTCCAAGAGTTGTAGTTATCTCTGTAATCAAGGAATAACAACTGCATTTTCATCACCAATTTATGTCTTCTACAGGAATTGCCCTCAGGAGGTTCCTGCCTCTCCCAGGATCTCCAGGAGCAGCCTTAGCTCTTAATTCCTGCAGCTTGCTTAAGCACCTGAATTAGAAGTAGAATTCCCAGTTCTGTACTTTTTGGTGCATTAAAACATAAATTTGAAGGTAATCTCTGTAGGTTCAAAGAAAGAACATTGTGAGCCATCAATGTTGAAGAAGGGGTTGCTCTGCTCTTCTAGTTGTGCTTTGAAAGATAATTTCTGTGACTTTTTACCCTGTCATATCTGCAGAGTTACCTGGAGAAAACTCTCATGGATCACTGATTTCTGTGGATATAGAAATAGTGTATTTAATGTTTATTTTTACTGCCTTTATTTCAACTGTTTTAGAAAGGGAATAACAACAGGATGTTACCATTGAAAAGGAAAATTCATTGCTCCAGCCTGACAATACTGGAATCTCCATGACACTCTAAATAAATAATTTAATAAATAAGGAAATTTATTTAACTAAGCCATCAGACAATTGTCAGTGTTGGTTGTGCTTGTTCTTTAATTCCTTTAACCAGAAGAGGTTTTAATTTACACACTTAAACAGTCTTATGTCCTTTGATAATTGGCCATGGGGGCGAATGACTACAAAAATCTTGTCTGAACATCAAATATCTCTGTGCATAAATTGCTAAGCTGAAGCATTTTTCCCTTTTTATAACATATAATATAATATAATCCATTATTGCTTCCACCTCTGCCTGAAAGCAGAAAATTAAATAACTCTTTGCCATTAATACAAATTATTGTGTTTTGACAGCTTCCTAATAATTTCAGGTAAAAATGGTGCTGCACAAACAGCACAATTGCCTTATAAGAAACTATTTTTTGGTGTGTGCATGAGATTTCTCCTTGTTTGGGCCTTCAAACCCTTTCAAGGTTTGCCCTCTGTGATAAATTGATATTCAGAAGCATAAATCAAGCTGAGTTTGAGTCGTGCTCTGATGGAGAATGGATTTCTCTTTATAGTTTCCCTATAAATAAACTTGGACAACACTTGACCAGCAGGTGCTGCCTATAGATGTTCCTTCCATGACGCCCTGTATCAATTAATATGCAAATGAGTGACTGAGCATTGGCAGATTTTGACCTCTCAATGTGTATTTTGTGCCTTCTTCAGGCATGGGCTGTTTCTGGGGAGCCGAGAGGAAGTTCTGGAGGCAGAAAGGAGTCTATTCCACTCAAGTAGGTTATGCAGGAGGACATACCCCAAACCCTACCTACAAGGAGGTGTGCTCAGGTGAGTCTTTTCTTTTTGGTTTTTAAGGATCAGGAGTGGACTCCTGAATTATGAATGACAAAACAGAGTGAAATGAGTGACTGCAGTGGCTAAGGAGATTTGGGCTTGGCTTGACATCCTAAACTGTACTGAAATCTATGGATGCCCATCCCATTGCTGTCTCCTAATAATTAATGAGTCAGGGTATGAACAAATATTCTGTTCTGATTAATAATCTGTTAATTCTTCACACAGTTCTGTGTGCAGCATCCTGTCATTTCCCGGCCAAACCCTTGCATTTATCTTTCACTCTACACTTCAAAACTCCAGTGCAGTTTCTTTCTGAGATCTGAACCACAGAACCCCTGGCAGCCAACTAATGCTGCTGGTGGAGAAAATCCTGGCTTTCCTGGACACCCTTGGAAGTTTTCCTTTGGTTTATTTTCTTGTTAACATTTTTATGCCAAATACTGACACTGGGGCTTGTTCTTAGTGACAAACTCTCACACGGGTTTCATGGAAAGGGTGTGAAAAGTGACACGAACAAATAATGGGCACTTGAAGCCCTGTGCAGAGGTGGTGCAAGGCAGCCAAAAAGGCAGAAACTTGCTGGAAATTGTGAAAAGTGGGAAAGGGGATGATTTGAGGTGGAATGGAATGGAATGGAAATAAAAATGGAAAAGGAAAGGAAAGGAAAGGAAAGGGGAAAAGAAAAAAGAAAAAAGAAAAAAGAGAAAAGAAAAAAGAGAAAAGAAAAAAGAAAATAGAAAAAAGAAAAAAGAAAAAAAAAGAAAAAAGAAAAGGAAAGGAAAGGGAAAATGAAAGGAAAGGGAAAGGGAATTAAATTTGAATAGAATGGAAAATTATTTTCCTGTTTTATGGGAGAAAGGAAGGGAAATTAAATTTGATTAGAATGGAATGGAAAATTCTTTTTCCATTTTCTGGTGACAGCCATACAGAGGACAATCTGAAAAAGCCTTCTGGAGGGTGTGCAGGATTTGGAGCTATTTTCAGTGCGTTCTCCTAATACATAAATACACCATTTTTGGCCAGCATTAGACAACCCAGGATGTTCATTCAGCACCAAACATCTTTTCATATTTTGCTTACAGATGTTCAGAACAATTCTGTTGCTCTGTATATTCATAAGCTTTTAGAAATCTGCATAGCTCAAGTGGCACTGAAATCAGAAGGGAAGAACTCTGCTGTTGTTATTCATAAACTGGGGATGTACAATTACCATATAAAATACACAGCTAACGATGATTTCCTTAAAAACAGGGTCATTTATAGGCTTGTGGTTCAGGCTGTTCACATGTGAGCAGGTCATTTGGGTTTGCTTTCAGTTGTTTTCTTTGTTTATCTTCAGTGACTGGAATGTAAAGAAAAATAAAACATGTCTGGTTATTATATTATATTAGTTAGAAGGCTGAGAGTCAGTGAATTAAAGCAATTTATAATCTTGTCAATTCTCATCTTTCTGAGGCATTTTCTCTCATGCGCAAATCACAATTTCTAATGGTTAACAATTCAATATAAAAATGTGCCACACAGACTTTGTTTCTGCTCTGAATTATGTAAAATATTTGGCTGTGAAGATGTTTCACATCTCCTAAGCAGAAAATCCATGTTTTTCTGAGGAATACTAGTGCCTCTTGCATAAGGATTACTCTTTTGACTGATTCTTCCATATTGGATTTCCAGTTCTCCTTAAAATGGCTTGGCTTCCAAAGGTCACCTGGAAGGCTTCTAAATAGCTGATGGAAGAGAATGGAGAAAGGGAAAATTAATTTCTTGCTCTGTTACCTCCTGTTCCTGTGGTCAGCTGGTGATTTCCCAAGTTAATTCCAGAAACCCAGAGGAAGGTGGTGGTTGGGATGTTGTTATTTAAGAGTGGAAATGTGTGGGGAAGGTTTGGCTGGGTAATGTGGGGTTAATTTTACATATTTGTGCAAAAACTGTTGATATTAAAAGCAACAGTGGGAAATCTGATGGGAATTTTTCAGGAGCTGTTGATGGCAATAGAGAAAAAAATGTAATATAAGAAAGTTCCAATCTTCTCGGATTTGTCCTTCCCTAAAAATACAGAAGAAAGTCCTGTGACAAACTATCAACTACGTTAATGGAATCCTGGAATCTTGGAATGATTTTGGGTGGGAAGGGACCTTAAAGTTCATCCATTTCCAGCACCTGCCATGGGCAGGGACATCTTCCACTATCCCAGGTTGCTCCAAGCCCTGTCCAACCTGGCCTTGGACACTTCCAGGGATCCAGGGGCAGCCACAGCTTTTCTGGGCAACCTGTGCCAGGGCCTCCCCCACCCTCACAGGGAACAATTCCTTCCTAATATCCCATCTATCCCTGCCCTCTTGTCAGAACCCAGGACACCCCTTTGGGTGCCCTGGGTGACATGTGCCCCTGGCAGGGGGCTCGGGAGTCCTGGCAGGAAGCCAAAGGCACTTGGGATTTCAGTCTTAACCCATGGAGCAAATTACCAACCTTGTATGAAGAATCACAAGTCACAAAAGTTTAAGTAGAGTGATAATGATTAATCACAGGGTGAAAAGTGGAATGTTGGGGATTTTGCTACAGGGGGTTTAGCAGGCAAGATGGAGGGATCTGAGTGTTGTCCTATTCCTCTTCCTTCTTCTTCCTAGCCTCCATCCTCTTGGTGAAGGTGGAACATTTGGATTGGTTTAAAGTAGAAGTAGACAGTCTAACATAGGTGATGGGTTTTGGAAAATTATGATAAATAAAGTACAGGTAATTCATACTATAAAATGTAGACATGAGCCCAAGGGCACACAGTGTGTGCCCTTGACAGACCTGCAGAGCAGACCTCTGCAAGTTTGCGAAAAAATATTTTAGATAATAGACAATAAACAACCTTGTGAACCAGAACCAAATAATTCCCACTCTTTCTTTGACCACTGGGCTGGGTGAAAAGCACTCTCAGGTCATCCCGACAGCAAGAAACCCGAGACCATCTGGCAGTGGGCAGCCATTCCCTGTTTCCTGTCCCTCCATCCCTCATCCCAAGTCCCTCTCCAGCTCTCCTGGAGCCCCTTTAGGCTCTGGAAGGGGCTCTGAGTCTCCTTGGATCCTCCTCTTCCCTAGATGAACCCCTCAGCTCTCCCAGCCTGGCTCCAGAGCAGCAGGGCTGTGAATTTGTGACTCTCCTGATGTTCAGGCATGGCCTTGTATTCCTTGGAGAACCCTTCAGCTGGACACTACGGCACCCTTCCAAAGTGGCTCTGGTTCTCCAAAGTGTTTAAATGTATAATTAAACTACAAATATTCTCTTCCCTTTCTGCAGCTTGTAAAAGGGATCTGAAGGTTTCCATGGACAGGAACTAAGTCCTCAAGATTAAAGTTTCCAAGCAGTAATGAGAGTGGCTCAGAACATTTTCTTTTGTTATTAAATTGCTGTCAAGAGAATAGATTCCTGTTGTGCCTTTGTCTGGTCTTTTTTTAAAAAATCCTTATAAGAACAGGATATAGGAATTTTAATGACTGTGAAGAATCTCAGTGTTCACCATGCCCTTGATCTGTGTGTGCCTTGATAGGACTGGCCAATTGCTCCACCTCTCGCTTTTTTTTCCCCTCTCTGGTTCACCTGTGAGAAAGGAAGGAAAGGTCAGCCAAAGTACAAAATACTGCATCAATCAAAGTTAATGTCATGAACTGTGGGAATTACTGTTTTGTGTATTTTTTGCAGCAATTGAAGAACAGGATTTTGTAGAAAATCTGTAATTTTTGTTAACTAGAACAGTTGGAACAAGTTGTGTCTCTGCAATCATGAGATTATCGTCCTAGGATCCTCCTGGATGTGCATCTAAACCTTGATATGACCTTAGAAACTATAATTTGTCCTCCATTGAATTGCTAAGTCATGAAATAAAATGAATGTAGCAATTTCACTTAAAAAATAATTTGGAAAGGTGATGGCAGATGCTGCTGTAACGATAAAACCTTGGCAACAAGAACCCAACAGATGCACTGAATTTCACTTACCTGCTCCTCTGCAGCTCTACCTCCAAATTTTCAAAGCTGACACTACTGACATGTTTTTTTTCAGCAGAGAAGTTAACCAAGAAAACTTAAAATCCAATATACAGGAATGGAGTCTGTAGATTTGTCATTTAAAAATGAAAAGCAGAATAAATACATATTTTTCATGGTAAAGAAATGGTAAATAAATTTGCCATTGCCTGAAAAACAGAAAGCTCCTTGTCCACAAGGGATGGCAGCAGCTCTGCTGAGGGAGCTCTGCTCCATCTGTAATCAAGGCTGAGTTCACTTTTCCATCTCAGAATTTGACTTCTCAGGGTTAATGTCTTGTCTGGTTCAGGCTTGAAGAAACCTAAGTGATATTTATTATTTAGATACCTGATTGTGCCTCGTAGCAAATTTAAAATCCTAATAGCCTCACTGCTGTCCTCTGCTCCTTTCATCTATTTATCCCAGCATTGCCCACAATCACAGGCTTGGGTTGTAGCAGCAATATAAATACCAAATATATTATTTATTATTAACAACTTTATTTGAATTGTATTCCACTGAGATGTGTTGTTTCCATCTTTGCCGTCTCCTGCTTTATTAAAGATATATATAAGATGAAAATGTGGGAGCCCCAGAGGTTGAAAGAGCCATTACAGAGCAAGTCAAAGACAAAATCTTCTGACCTGGAGCCTACAGGAAGCTCCCAAAGGTGCTTCATTTTCACAGGAGACTCCATGCAGGATTGGGCTGAGATGTTCCCCCTGTCACAGGGCCTGAAAACAGAAGATGCAGCATGGAGCTGCTTCTTTTTAAGTATCAGAACACGTTGTGTTTGTGAAAATGCTGTTACCAAAATGCTCAGTGCTGTTGTTGTGGCCGGTGGGGCGGTTTCCTACTTTTTGTTCTTTTTGGGTTTTTCCTGCTGTGGAGACCTTGTAAAGAAAAAAGAAATAAGCTACAAAGGCAGTTAGTCTGTGCTCAAACTGTGCTCCCAGAACTGGTGGTTACTACAGGAGGTA